CTACAGAGCAGTATGGGTGATATTAGGGGTAAATTTTTTTGTGACGCAACCGGAATCCCCCGTCCCTCTCATCCCAGGAGAAAAAGAAGGTCTGGTCCCTTGGGCAGCATTATATTATCGTTTAAATGCTTTGAGAAAATCAACATGGGCGAAAAAAAAGAAAAAAGAAAGAAAAAGAGGAAAGAAGTCCGAGAGGCAACAAGCAGTTGCTCAATGTTTCAACTTTTCGGACAGTTACAGCTGAGTGCTCAGTGGCAAGCGCCGAATGACGGTTTCTTGTTTTTGTTTTGTTTTTATTTTATTTTTTTTTTTTTGGAGAGCTTACCTTTGTCCCATAACTGGAATCCTTGTATGAAGATAGTCCGGTCGAGACGCGAGAAGAAGAAAAGCCCGAGAATCAAGGCCTTGCCTATGCGCAGAAGACCAGACACGAGTCCAACAATGGCGTTGAGGAAAACAAACGCATAGGACATGATAGAGAACAGTCGCCTAAAACGTGATTCCAAAAAAAAAAATAAAATAAAATGGAACAAAAGAAAAAAAGGAGTGAAACAATGAAATAATGAATAGCTACGGATACTGAGAGGAATAATGCCGAGAAGAAAACGTGGCCCATTTCCAAGACGTTAAGCATAAAGAGGAGGGTCTAGGGTGTTAAGAAAAATCAGACTTAGAAATGTTTCCTTTCTACTTTATCCAAAAAGGTCAGATTAATGGTTACCAAAAAGAGTCTAAAATGTTTTAATCGTTAGCCTTAAAAGCCATTACCCCTTTTAGATCCTCAAGGAACTGCGGCGGACTCTTGATTGGCCTCTTACGGTAAAGTGACCTTCTTCAGCGAAGAAGAGAGGTAAATTACTCACCCAGGTGAGTTATAACAGAACTGTACGAATTCTAATTGGCAACAGATTATGATATACTCTGCGAGAACTGTACGTCCCGCGGTAACATCCCGCGGTAACATCCCGCGCCTTTGGCGAGACGAAAATCATTTTATTTTGTTGCAAATCAGACGGACAGCCATGTTATTTGTTAACCACTAAAGCCAGTATCGTGGACAAATTGTGTTGCAAACTTCGTTTACACAACCAATTTTAGATTTCGCGAGAATGCAAGCGTCTGTGAGGTAAATTGGTTCGTTTAACATTGTAGAGGAGTAAGAATCACGAATAGCAAAGCATCCCTTAGGAACAATGAAGTTGCTGCAGTAACACGTAGACCCCATGTTAACATGTCCAGTGGTAATTATAGATGACGTTAAAATGTGGTAAGAACTAAGAACTATAAAAAAAAAAGTTGGCACACGAGGCGGAACTGAGAGGGTCAGTGATATTCTTACCACAAAGTAACGTCTTTTGTGTTCGATAATTGAAAAGACCCACAATACCGATAAATGATTGAGTGAAAAGAGGAACGTGTTAATGATGACGTCATCTGTGAGTCAAGAAGCAATCTAAGTTCAGTTTCTTATAGGGGAACTTGCAGCGTGCGATGCGCGCGCAGCATAGCCCCATATTTATATGAATAGATTTAGAAACTGTCTTTTTAAATTTACCGGTTGTCAATCACGACCGAGAAATCCGGGTACTCTCTGTCACGAAAGACATATCGAGCTAGGAAAAAACGCTGGAACAACCGTAATATGATGGCCAGCACTATCGATGGCCTGAAAAAAGAAAAAAAATTGAAACAAACATGTAAGCAACAACGAATTAAATACCTGATGGACTTTGTCAACAATAATAAAACAACCTATTCAAGTTATCAATCTACTTACACAAATCCCTTTAAGAAGTTCCAAACCCAATTACGTACTTGAGAAATCCTGAGAATGAAAATTACAGGAACTCCCAAGTTTGACAACACGTAGAAACCTGCAAAGAGAAACGAGCGAAAAATTGGATAAACCAATACCAGAGGCATGAAAATGTCATTAGTTGCATAATCTGTGAAGACACTTGTTAGCCCGCTTCCAAGCCTCGTTTTAAAACAAGATGCAAAGGTGCTAAGAACAGTTGCGAAAGTTATGCAAACCCTTGACTCATTCCAACTCGTATTCAACCTTGACTACATATAAACGAAAAAGGAATAATAACCTCATCTTTTGCTTCAATACAGGCTCGCACCTGACATATATGTTCCTTTAAATCCTTCTTTATAATTGACAATAAAAAAAAAAATTATTGGAGATTTAGTTTTTTCTTTGCGTTTAATTTAGTTAAGCATACTAATATGTGGACGTAACAAATGCGTTAGTTCTTAGATTATTTTAGGTCGAAAATTCCATGCTTACCAATCACGGCATAGGCGACTTGGTATCCAGTGTAACTTAGACTTCTTCCCTTTAAGACAAGACAACCATTGGTAAGGATAAATGTAACCTCCTTTTGTTAATCATCGTTATCATGATCTTGATCATGACAGTAACATTGATCGTGGTCATATGGCCCGAGTTGTTCAAAGCTATTTTAAGATAACCTAGGGTTTTTGTGAAATTTTATTTCAGATGTGAAAGCTTTAAAGGAAAACTCAATATAATTTTCTTTGCCCAGAATTTGATTATTGGATGCTGTAAAAAATAATAGACAGGGTTATTACAAAAAGGCTTTTTAACAAAGGTATAAAGAGACCTAGATTAAAATTTAACCTTGGGATAGTTCTATTCGGCCATCAAAAAAACTGGGTCCATGACTTTAAATGCTGCCGTAACCGTGATCTTAGGGACTTTAAGCAGTCAGGACAGAAACGCCACGGAAGACGTCGATTAAAAAATGAGTTTCTACGTTTAGCTGGAATTTCGAAAATGGTTGCATATGTTTACCGTCTCATAGGGCGCCAGACCTCAAAATCATCAAAGTAGCGTTGAGTTCCAAATGTAAATTAAAATAATTTGCCGCCGGGGTTTCGCTTCGCAGACGACGCAAACTTTGGTGATTTTACGTTGTTGTTTTGCAAAGGACGGCTAAGAAATGTACAAAGTTTTAAAACGCACGTGCTGGGCTATTGTTCTGCCAATTAGATCTATTGTTTTTCGACGTTCTCGTTGCCGTAGCCGTCGTGGTTTGCTTAAAGTCCCTCTTGACGCGACCGCGACAGTGAACGTCAACGTATTTTGACTGGTATCGTTATTCAACAATTATGAGGTTATATTCAAGGAGAAAATTCTGAATTTTCTGGAGGAGGGCTAGAGCTTTCCAACCTTTAGAATCATCTTTCTCTTCCTGTAAGGTAATTTTCAAACGGTTATCATTGTAGGGAAAGACTAGTCATTTCTTCTTCAATTTTGATATGAGCATTAAAAGCTTATTTCTCGCCATACCACAAACGAGGCTGGTGAGAGGCAAATGTTTTGCATTAGGCGTCTATCTCCTCGGTAAAGCTGTAGCACGTGGTCCCTATGAGGAAGAATTACAATAGACGCTACAATAATCTTTTAGTCCGAGTTCAACAGAATGCCTAAAAATGAGTTACCATCGCAAAAAAGACTTCCACGGCAAGAAATAAGGAAGGCCCTTAAAATAACACATTTATCTTTATTGCGCAGTGGTAATGGTGGGTAGTGGGACAGGGGGTCGGGGGGGGGTGAGGGAGGTTTTGTTTTTTTCACGCTGTGGGGTATGGGTGGTTCTGTTTGTGTCACAATATTCCTGTTGTATCATTCATAACCTCCCCTTCTCATCAGCGGTTTATTGGCTGTCAATTATCCATATTCCCCCTTTATACTTTGTTAACGAGGACTGATACCCCCTCCATTCCTCCTGGAAATCCTGTGTTTCCTCCCCCCCCCCCCAAAAAAAAAAAAGGCCGACTACCGTTCCCTCCTTACGAGAATTACTGACTGGTCCTTTAGGAAATTCATATACTTTCACTTAAGAGGATTGGTATCTTAGAGGTGGGTGAATAGTTAATTCGAAGACTCAAGAAATACACCAAGAGAAAATCGATCAGATACGGAGATTTAGCAAGTTTAGCTCCACAACTCCTCATAGATACCCTGGCTTTGCTCAGGTTATTTGTAAGGTAGTATTAATGACAGCAAAAGGCTGGGTTAGAGTTACGATAACCTTCCATATGTTTTCTTTCTTTGTGATATATCGGTTATAGCAACGCAAAATTTTCAAATGCTAAAGCTCATAAAGGTACTTTGGTCGTTCGTAATGAAACACATGAGGTACGCTAGCTCTAGATTCACAACCGTACGCATAAAGTCGAGAATTACGAACTTTGAAGGAAAGGGGACATAAACGCTGACGAGACATCTAGATCGAATGGAGGGAAAACCGGGAATTAGACCTTCAAAGCATGTAACGCAAGGTTTGGGAATCGAACCCCGGCCGAAGCGTCATGGTTGACCATTCATGGTCAAAACGAACACATTTGGTAAAATTAGTCACACGTACCTGTGGCACTTCATGAAATGAAGAGTTCATATAACGTAAATCACGGCAGCGAAAACATACGATCCGTAAAGACAATCTAAAATAACATTAGATATATATAAATTTTGCCGGCAGAAAGTAGAAAAAAATCCTAGCATGTTCCAGGTAAGCAATTAGGTATTAAAACTGCGGAATAGGGAACGGCGCATTAGTAAACGGTGCAATTATAGTGGCGGTGAAGCGACAACAACGCAGGGGACTGGGGTCGGGTCGGCCGTTTACAATCACCCAATAGCCCTTGATACTGGAGGTGACGTTTTCGATACAACGTCGCAATGGTATTCTCCTGAAATTGTAAAGGCAAGTTGTGAAAGAAGTCTCTCATTCTTAATGATTATGGCTTACGAAAAGCGATCTTCTCCCGGTAAAGCTTCAACTTTATAATGATCTCAGCACAACTTAGAACGATTTATTGTACCGCCTGCGATATTGAAAAAGTTTCTAAGATGGTTGATCTCCTAAAACGCATGTGGTCTTTTTTTGTGAGATGTTCTGATGAAAGTGGTTGTAAACGGTAATAGTTTATATGACAGCCAATCAGAATGCGGTACTTCGTATACGGCATATGATAATATACAATAGTAATACGACTACTTTTTTAACAATCAGTTCGCGGATTGTAATATATATATATATTGCAGTTATATATATATATATATATATATACATATGCATATTCAGTAGTTTTGGGAAAATGTTTGAATGATTGGCTAATGGGTTGAGTGACTAAAAGACTGATGAAAAGTTATCTGTTTCACATCGATAAGTTGTTGAAGGCTACGAGCTTGAAAAATTTTAGGAAGCACGTAAACTATTATTTTTTACAGTTAATACGTCACCTCTCAGTACATCGATAATAGAGAAGGAACCCAGAGGGTTTATAAAAGCTTCAAAACTTGAGAGCGACAACAATATGACCTACCAGAGAGAAATAGAACAACTTAAATCACTTGATACGCTTTTGCTTTAGATAATACAGGTCAAAATTAATTCATCAGTCATACTCGTATCTGTTATGAAACCTTTTTTTAAAATCCTTGCCAAACAAGAATGGAACAGAATAGGCTGAAAAAGTACATTTTCTAAATCAATGGACAAGAATCTACTGTTAAATAAGTACTAACTTCAAAGACAGCAATCCCGATGAGAAACAATGTTGATATCAACTGCGTGGAGAACTTGAAATCTGAAATCATAGAAACTCCTTCCCATTAGTCCAACCCGGCCATTAGTAAACTTGTTAAAAATAAATAAATAAAAAAAGGAAAAATGGATGAATATATAACTAAATCAGGGCCTTAACGAAGGGAAAGCATGAAGTTGAAACTAATGAATCATTCTTAAATACTGAGTGAACATTGTTCATTTTGTAATAAGATACCAAACATACCTGCCCTTGGTATATAAAAAAAGTAAACAACCTTCCAATACCATTCTGTTTTGTCCGGGTAGCTGAAAAAATGACGAAGACGATACTGCTGACGATAATGCTAACGCTTACACTTATCTAAGATAAGATAAGATAAGATAAGATAGGAACTTTATTTCCGTGTCAAAATCTCTAGCGTACCACGTACGCTAATTGGGGACACCTAATTATCTAGTACTAAAATTACTTTAAAAATTACAAGATTTGAAATTTATATTTATGTGTGTGAAATCTTTAAAATGATTAGTTAATTATTACATAAGAAGCAGTCTTTACATTCGCTGTCCAGATGGCTATTAAAATTAACTGGTTTTATGCGTTTTTTAAAAGTTTCCAGTGAGTCAGAGAGCCGAATAAATTTTTCGAGTTTTGACCATGTGATAGGGCCTAGCTGTGTTTACTGTATGCAACTGTCCTGAATCGTGGTGTTATGAAGTTTGAATTTCTTAAATTAATTAAGTCCGTGATATACGGGGGCGCCAAACCGTTTTGGACTTTAAACATCATAGTTGCTATGTCCTGTAGTCTTCGCGTGTATAGTGTAGGCAGGTTCGCTCTATGCTCTGAATGCCTGCGATAAACAGAAGGAAAAGGACGAGGACAAACTCTCCTTTAGACACACCCTGAACTACCTTTTACTGCTACCCTTGAACAGGAGCCTGTTCAACTTCTAGAACATTAAAGGATATCTTACATCAGAGGTTTTTGGCCTAAAATGAACTTCACGTGAGCGACGTCAGAATAATGAGCCAGTGAGCGAGAGCAGGAGTCCTTTCCCTAGAGAGAGAGATTTAAGGGACGTTATTAAGACAGTTACCGTTATTTTCAATACCTTGAATTCATTTTGTATTATCCTGTGGCCACTTTCGCTACTCATTAAGTCTTTAATTTTTTTTCTTGAATCTTATTATTTGCTGGAATTTTCTTCTACGTCTCGATGTTTGGGCGCCTAACAACCTTACTTAACGGTTTCCCTTTGAACTAAGCAGGGAATTAGTTAGAAACTTCAGTCAGTCACTTTATCTATTTGGATAGTGTGCATAAATACTGTCAAAAGACTGTAGTTTCTCTTATGGCCGTATTGATATCCACATAGACATTGCCATGTTCAAAAACATCATGATACGCAAATTACACACTTTGCATCTTTCGGTCTAAAGAAATGGGAACACGTATGGAATTCTAACTTACAGCTGACTCTGTAGAAGATACAGACCATATTCGTCTAACTCGTCGTACAACAAGAAAAGCAAANGCTTCGTGAGCTGTCGGAACAATTCGGATTGAGTCGTTAATTTTTTCGACACCGGAAGCTTGTTTGACCGTCACATGACCATGGGAAAATTTTACTCGTGAGGAACCGTAGTTGAGAATCGTGTCGAAGGTTTCCTCAAAGATGACGGTATATACCTGTAAATTAGTCTCATTTAATGGCCCTCCTGGTTAATTGTAGAGATGAATCAATGAAATTTTCTATTTTTACTTCTTTCATGGGCCAACAGTCGTACGAGGATGAAGAAAACTTTGGGAGTTATAGCGTGGTTGGTTCATTTCCTAAAGACTTCGGGTAAGTTTTCAGTTTGTATCGACTGCAACTTTTGTCATAGTGAACGATAGGAAGTGCAAATATTCTTCCCTCAATACAACTAAGAGGTACCATGGTAGACATTTTGTTTTGCGCAATTAAGCTATGTGTTAACGTTTAGTGGACTTGGAGATGTGAAGTTTAAGCGTAAATCAGTTTACTGGCGAGCCAGCCGGTGTACAACTGTACACAATATTAGCTCGCTGTTTTCTCGACGTTCTCGAATGTCGATATTCCTTGCTGAGAAAAATTGCAAACGCCACTTGTTTTAAAATACCCATGAACTGTTGGATAAAAACCCTGAGTTCAATGGCTCATTGCAACGATTTGTGCAATATCAGTAATCATTTGTTATCACGTGAAGTTAGTAGGGAAGGTTCGGAAGGAATAATAATATTTATCTAATAAACTGAAACTGTTTGCACAGGATACATTAAATTGCTTAACTCTAGATGTAACGTAACTTAATGTACATGCAAGTGGCCGTGATCACACCATCGTGAAATAAATTGGGTCATGTCACTAGGACAAACAATAATCTGTTTTTGAAAAACGATGTTCGCATGAGGTTGCCAACTGTGAAATCTCATTTTTATCAATTCTCCTCACTGTTGAGGGAAAGGTACGAAAGCTAGACGAGATAATTATAACTTCAATTTTTGGAGTTCAGGGGTCAGAGGTTCAATCTGAAGAAACACTTCCCATTAGCCTCTTGTAAGAATAACCTTACTGGCTTACCCTCCTGGCAGAGGCGTTTATTTGTTAACTTCCCCTACGGTCCACGTAAAAGTAAAGACCTCTGCGCTCGGCCTGTTAAATCTTCTTTGAGCATGCACCTGGGAATTATCCAAGTTTGTGGATAATCTGATTTGCAAAACTGGTTAGAACCTGTTTTAAACACGTTTTTATGCACACGCATCCTATTCAGCTATATAGCAATACCAAGTGTGAGCCCACAATCAGCCTAGTACTACCGGGAACTAGTTTGTTTCTAAGCAACAGGCCACGCATGCTCGAAGAAGATTTAACAGGCCGAGCGCAGAGGACTTTATTTTTACGTGGACCGTAGGTGAAGTTAACAAATAAACGCCTCTGCCAGCAGGGTATACTGGCTTGACACCCAAGATCTGATTGTGAATTCTCCCCATTTAGTGGCCATTCATTTCCCTTTAAATTAGCCATGGGAATGTGGCATTAGATCAATATACATACATAACACTCATAAATGTTGTTCATACTCAAATTTAAGAGTAGCTAAGGAGCTAATATCTGGTATTGAAATGAAGGTTGTCTATAATCCAGACTCAATTCTTCCTATTTGGCATATTTCATTCAGAATGCCAGTAGTATTGCCACATTATAAGACAACTCATGATTAAGCAAAGTTTTCTTCAATTTGTGTTTAGCTATGGCCCAGAGGATCAAGATGAAATCTCCAGCAGTGATAACAAACCCAGGATTCTAATAGTGGGCCTTAGAAGGTATGCATATAATATATTGCAGGGTTATAGCTAAGAAGTTGTGCTGTCAGATGAAATTTCAAGTGAGGCAGCTCAAAGGTGGTGAAGAATAAGTTTGTAACTTTAGAAGTCGAGCCTGTTGTACTTTACCAAGCAATTGCCGGCCAAAAATACAGCCGGCAATTGTCAAACAGAAGTGACCAAGCCGTTCAAACGAGCTGATGTTTTTGATGAACAGATGACCAAGCCATTCCAATGGGCTGATGTTTTTGTCAAACGGATGACCGAAGCCATTCAAACGGATGCAGATTTTTCTGAAAGGCTGACAAACGGCTTGGAAACAGAAAGCCATTTGAAAACAGAAAGCTGTCGGTATACACTGGTGCTTGTAGGCAACCCTGCAAACACTGCTGTTGTAGACTCAGCATCAAATTTTTTAGATTT